AGCCCAGATGTTCCAGCTTTCCCACCAGGTGCTGTGGGATGATGGTGTTAAACGCTGAACTGAAGTCCAGGAACAGCATCCGCACGTGGGTGTTCTTCTCCTCCAGGTGGGCCAGGCTCAGGTGAAGAGCAGAGGAGATGGCGTCCTCAGTGGAGCGGTTTCGCCGGTAGGCAAACTGGAACGGGTCGAGTGTTGGGGGGAGACTGGAGATGATGTGTTCCTTTACCAGCCTTTCAAAGCACTTCATCATGATGGGAGTCAGTGCGACGGGCCGGTAGTCGTTGTAGCAGGTGACTTGAGGTTTCTTTGGCACTGGGATGATGGAGGCAGACTTGAAGCATGCTGGCACTGTGGCTTGCTCCAGCGAGGTGTTAAAAATGTCCGTGAGGACACCAGCTAGCTGACCTGCACACTCCTTGAGCACCCGCCCAGGTATGTTGTCGGGACCTGGGGCCTTCCGCGGGTTGACCCTCCTCAGAGTCTTCCACACGTCGGCTGTGTCAAGGCAGAGAACCTCCTCTTCCTGATGTGGGACAGCCTTCACTGCTGGAGTGCGATTTAGTGCCTCAAACCTCCCAAAGAAGTTATTTAGTCCGTTTAGGAAGTCAGCATCAACTTCATCCACCGGGGCAGGGGGCGTGTTGTAGTCTGTGATCGCCCGTATGCCTTGCCACATGCTCCTGGTGTTGTTGGCGTCGTGGAACAGATGCTGGATTTTCTGGTTATGGTTCCGCTTTGCTAACCTGATGGCACGGTTCAGGGTGGCTCTAGCTGTCCTCAGTGCCTCCTTGTCACCAGACTTGAAGGCTGAGTTCCGTGCTTTTAGCGCGTGGCGGACCTCCTCAGTCATCCAGGGCCGTTGGTTGGCTCGGGTGGTGATGGTCTTTGTTGTGCTGACGTCCTCGATGCAGTGGTTGATGTAGGCTGAAACAGTCATGGCGTACTCATCAACATTGATCTTGTTGTCATATGTTGCTGCTGATTTGAACATGTCCCATTCAGAGCATTCAAAGCAGTCCTGGAGTGCATCCATGGCCCCCTCCGTCCAGACCCTCACCTGCTTCACTGTAGGTTTTGCTCTGATCAGCAGGGGTCTGTATGCAGGAATTAGCATCACAGAAAGGTGGTCTGAGGAGCCGATGTGGGGGCGGGGGGCTGCTCTGAATGCGTCTTTTATGTTTGTATAAACTAAGTCCAGAGTGTTCTCTCCCCGAGTAGCAAAATCCACGTGTTGATAAAAATGAGGGAGAACAGTTTTCATATTCGCCTGATTAAAATCTCCAGCAATGATGAAAACGCCCTCTGTGTGTGTAGATTGCAGCTCAGAGACAGTCCGATAGAGAACACTCATGGCCTCCTTTGTATCAGCGCTGGGGGGGACATACACCGCTGTGATGGTAACAACAGTGAACTCTCTGGGCAGGTAAAAGGGTCTGCAGCTAACAGTCAGAAGCTCTATGTCCGGAGAGCAAAAACTTGTGACTATTCTAGCATTTTTACACCAGTTGTTATTGATGTAAACACAGAGTCCGCCTCCTCGGCTCTTACCGCTGAGTTCTTTGTTTCTGTCGGCGCGGAAAGTAGCTAGCCCCTCCAGGCTAATGGCGTTGTCCGGGGTTGATGATGTGAGCCACGTCTCTGTCAGAATGAGAGCGCAACAGTCCCTAAACTCCCTCTTTGCTGAGAGCTCGAGTTGAAGATGGTCAGTTTTGTTATCCAGTGAACGTACGTTGGAGAGCAGGATGGATGGAAGCGATGGTCTGTGGGGGTTAGCCTTTAGCTTGGCTGCTAAACCTCCGCGACAGCCGCGTTTCCTCGGCCGGCTGCACCGCTTTCGCTTGGCTCTCCTCCAGCGTGAGCCGCTCGACGGGTCCGCTGCATCGCAGGCCTCCGGGGCATGATCCCGGAGCACTCCGGAGTCACGTAAACAGTCGAGCGTAGTGGTGGTTACAAGTCCAAATACACTGCATGATCGTAACTCCAGCAGGCGCTGGCGGTCCAGTGATGATCTGCTAGGTAGATAAGCAGTTTGCAGCGGGTTTGGCGGTATATTTTTATGAAAATCTCCGCAAGTTGGTCGGAGCTGTATGCCAGCCGCTGCCGCCAGGGGCGCCGCCATTTTTTGTTGATAATAATAATTAATTTAACACAAATGCTACACTAACACAGACACTAAGCTGTAGTTTAGCTACAGCCCCTAAACTGAGCAAGGTGTTTAAAAATACTAAAAGACCAGATTAATAAACATTGAAGAAAAGTGAGGTTGATTGTAAAGCTGCAGGGATGCAAATATATTACAGTAATACGGACCTGAAAATATATGGTAGCACAACATTGTCCAAAATGTATTCTAAAGATTTCCTGCAGCAAGCAGAGCTTAAATCCAACGTTAAGATATACTTTAAATAAGTAATAAAACATCTGTCTGACAATATATTACAAAACTTTTCCCTTTTAGGGTTATGATAACCATAATGAGTAAGAGGACATTTTAGCTTTTGTTTGTAAGTAAATTTAATAATGGTACTTTTGGTCAACAGTTTAGTATTGGTTACATGAGAAAACAAATATTAAACTAAAAAATATAGCTATTGGCTTTTTATAATTCTTCAAACTGTAACCATACTTTTTGTTTTACTTTTGGAGGGAAGACTTCCTCTTCTCCAAATGTCTTTCAATGTGCCTTGGTTAAAAAAAAAAAGTCAGTTGTCAGTGGACAATGGCTGTCTCCTATCAGCTGCAGGCAGAATCGTCCAGAGGTTTAGGTTTAAGTGATGTGTATTGGAATTCAGTCAAACCTGAGTCACAACTTTGATGACTCCAGCATTTACTTCACAGCATAAAAAAAAAAACTTTACTTTGAATCGAAAAAAATCCTTGATTACTTCAGTTTGTTCTGTTACAATGGAACCACACCCTCTGTGAAATTATGTAACTGTTCGTGCTATACTGTCCTATTTGCTCCTCTGGCTATTTAGTATGTTGCTTCAACATACAGCTTAAATTGTCTCTGTGGTTTAGTTGACTTTTTTCTGCATCCTACATTGCAAACCAAAGAAGCCAGCAGTAGTGCAGAAACACAATCAACAAGTGCTGTCAGAAAAACAAAATCTGGGAATATTCTAAGCCAAAGGCAGTGAAGGTTATACCTCATAATGTGGCTTTGCTCAGTAGGTAAAAACTGAAGAATTGAGAGTTAAGGTGTCTTATAAGTGGTCTTATGCACATTGAGGTATGAGGAATTGGGGTATGATCCGTTGATGTGCAAATACACTATTATTATTCAATAATAACTATTTATTAATAATTGTTTAACATTATATAATTCTTATATCTACCAGTATAGTGTAGCATTGACTGTCTGATTGCAGATTTGGCCAGATAAACTGTTTTGGGATATAACAGAGTTTGGAATTGACACATAGACTTACTTAAGACTTGCACCCCAATGACTCACCTCATTTCTTCCCAAACATTTTGATGGCTGGTGTTTATACTTGCTAAGGAACCTTTGTATACAACAAAGGTGCCCCTTCAGGAGACTGATAATTCTACTCAAAAATGGAGTATTTGCTGTGATATCACAAAATAAAGAAACATGTTTAAGGTATCTCATTAAGTAAAGCTTTTTAGATAATCTTATTACAGTTTTGCAAAGGTGTAATCAGGGCTTCATTGTTTAAAAGCAAAGTACTGAATATAAAAAGTCATAAATAATGAAAAAAGATTACTTCATGTTCATTCATGTCAGACAAAAACATAAATGAGTGTATTATGCTTTACAGACAATAGACAAAAACACCAGGTTGGAATTGTATGTTGTAATCTGTAGATTTTTATGGCAAGTGCAATGACTGTAGCAGAATTGCCCTATAGGTTCTACCCTTTGGTGGAGCCTTCATGCATAGACTGTGCATATTCTTCCTGTGCTTGCAGGAGTCTGAGTGTGTCCCTACTTGTTTTATCTATCTGGTGTGTCCCTGGCTTGCTCATTGGCCACTAGAGATAGGCATCAGTCCCCCTCTGATCTAAACAGGATTAAAAGGGTACAGAAAATGGGTCGATTTCCCCTGTGTTGGAGATAAAGCCAGACAGTGAAAGAGTACTGGAGAGGTAAAAACATTTATTTTGTCACATTTTCCTATACAAAAGCCCTTTTTCAAAAGGTTTTACTTCATACATTGCAGGAATTACAATAATATTAAAAAATAATAGACTGCTTAATTGTGAAGTTATACACACAATACATATAATGGATTTAACATCCAAAATAAATTGCATATATGAAGAAGTAACACGTATCCCTCTTCACTTATAATGCTTATGAAACAAGAAGGTAGAGGGCACATTACCATAATTTCTTTATGCTACAGTTGAAATGTTCCCTTTTAATTTGTTCTCTTAAAGCTATACATCTGCAAATAAGATGGATGTAAATATTAATACTGTATGAATGAGTATCAAACACCTGAAAATCTTACAAGCACAGAGTTAGCCATGGATTTCTTGTATAAAAAGGCAATGGAATTGCTTCATCAGATTATTGCCTGAATACAAATTACAGGAATAATCTCTATCAGATTATGAGTTAAGCAGGCAATTGTGGTTTTAGGAATACAAAAAATAATATACAGATATATTTTTTTGACACTTACAGGCACTTAAGATGTTACAACTGGATTTCAGAAAATAACATCTGTGTGAAAACAACAACAAAAATGTTTAACTGCATTGCCCAAATGTACAGATATAAAAATACTTAAAATGCTCAATATACTACTAGCAGGAATGGACTCAAAAAGTTTGCATTTTTGACCGAGGTCAACTCGTATTAACTCTCTTGGCTTTTTATACTGTGTCATATATGAAAATAACTCTGCATAATTTATACAGTAAGTTGCTTTAATGCCTAGTTGACTGATGTTTATAAAATACTAAAAAATAGGTCTGACAAACGCACAGCGTTTGCGAATCTGAGGATTTCTTTGTTTCATCTCGTCGTTTTTGTTCTCGAAAAAAAAAAAAAAGATTTTCAAGTGTCTATTTTCAGTGACTTTTTCATAATTTCTGAAATTGACAGTTGAAAAAATGATTATGGTTGTAATTTTGACGCACTTTTACATGACAATGTTTGAAATTCTGACTTGAGATTCGTTTGCATTTTGCTAGGCTTAAAGATCAGTGAGACAATTATGACCAAACATGCAGCTCTCATGCTAAGATCAATCCTTGGAAGAAAAAAGGAAGAAAAAAACACTCCAACATAGTTTCTGTTAGTGAGAATTATATGATTCATCGCTTCTCTGCACCAACCTGTGCCATACTGGTTGGCCTAGAGATACAAGAAAGAACTTGGCAGATTCTATTGTTAGAAAATACTTTAAATAAAAATGGTTGATTTTTTTCATAAACATTTATTTTTCTTTGGAAATTTAGTTGTGCAATGGTAGTTGATAATGATGGTATCATATGGATCAGCAGTTGGAGCCTAACCCTACCTCTGCAAGGACTTACTGCTATGTTTTCCAGCACCTTTTTAAAACATGATGAAGAATTAATGCCATTTGGACAGAAAAACAACAGCCCCTAAAATGAAGGCTAACACAGCCCCGAAAAAGAACTACATACTCTAAAATTACTATCATGTTTCATGGCAATATGTGGACATGCATCATCAGATTTCTTAAAAAAACACATCTGACATATTTTGATTAAGGCAAAGGCCTTTTCTTTTAAGTGTTATTCACAAGCCAGAAGACATTCACATTAATACTGATATGGTCGAGCAAAATAGCCTGGCTGAGAGAAAGAAACAAGGCAAACACTTAGCTTAGTGTGTACTGTAGCCTTCCAAAAAAATAAAGAAAAAAACAAAACAAAACAAAAATAGAGATATACATTTGAACTGGGCAGGAACTATATTTGCAAATCACCCCTAATAAATCTTGACTTATCTTCCACAACACAATTGATTTAACTCTATGTTTAAGGTGTGCTCATTACCCATTATCTCTCTCAGCTTCACACAAAATACATGGAAAACATTCTTTAAGCAACTGAGTTGACCCAGGTTCAGCAGAAACATACAGCGCTTCATTCTACGGCATCTAACTCCTCTCAAGCCTTCCAGTTTTGGAGGATAAATTACATGGCGGCACGGTGAAATGCATGTTCCAGTCGCCAAATTTCATTCAGTGCTGAGAAAAGTCCCTCTTGCAAGATCTCCTACTTGTCTATTGGAGAAACATATGTACACAAACCATCTCTCTCTTTCACACACACACACAGACACACAAAACCCCCAAAACATGCAAATAAACAGAAAGGCAGAAAGAAAAACAGTGGAAAAACCCCACAAGGTAGTAGATAAGCGGCAAAAGCTGATTTTTTTAAGCAAAGTGTACAAACTGTACTGAGAAGGACAAGATTGAGACCCAAGTGATAGGCCCATGTCGGCTAAGGTAGCATGAAAAATAGGCTGACACACTCAGGTTCAAGACCATTCCTTTGGCTTCGGGACACTTATTGGCTTAGAGGTGAAGTTATCCAGAGAGAGTGGAAAAGACACGTCCAAGAAACTTAGATGTGCATAAAGAAAAAAAAAAAACAACAACTGACAAACAGTCATAATAAGTAGTATTCCATTATAGACCAAGGTATCCAGTTTTTTTTTATAGATTCTTACATGAAAAAACCTTCAATAAACTAGTCTTTATTGAGGAACAGCATTTCTTAAGATGATTGTTTCCATCGATTCAGTCTTTGGCATTACAAAGAGTGCAGGTCAGCAACTTTGGTGGGGGGAGAAGGTAGGTTTTAGAAGTTGGTCATTGATCAGTGTGGGTTGTCCTAATAGTAACTACCGAGATGGGATGGCACATGAGTGTTAGGGTGGCGAGGAACATTTGGGTTAGGGTAGATGCCTGCAGTGGGTGAACTCCAATACTGAGCAGTGGGTCCGAAGAAATTGGAGGAGGTGACTGGCATAGATGGAGGGTGAGGGGATACAAAGTTGACCTTTTGCTGGTGGGCATGGTAGGAAGGCACATAGGCTAGGTCCGACGGGTATTTATACATGGATGACTCGGTAGGGTGTGGCTGCAGCGCCTGAGCAATGCCATGGAAGTCGAACTTGTAGGCATAGCGTTTGCCATGCACTTTTGTCATGATATTTTTGTCATAGTAGTAGCGCAGCGCACGGCTCAGCTTGTCGTAGTTCATGTTGGGCTTGCTCTTACGCTCACCCCATCGCCGCGCTACCTCATCTGGATCTGTCATCTTAAATTCTCCATTGGTCCCTTCCCAAGTGATGCACCCTGCATTGGCACTGTCAGACAAGAGCTCCAGAAGAAACTGCCATAGTTGGATTTGACCTGAGCCTAAGGGTGGATAGAGGTACAAATCTTGGTTAGGTACAGTTAAGGTCTCGACAAAGTTCGTTGTACGTTATGCTGACTAACTTAAGGTTTGGTCCAGCTTAGAAGTCTTGAACATGTCAATAATCTTACCTGGGTTGGCGAGACGACTACTGGTAGGGCCCAGGATCTGGTAAGGATCTGTGGACAAATAAAAAGTTTAAGTCTGCAGTCAGATTTCTTCTTATGGTCCAACATCATTATTTCATCTTGAAAAAAAAAAGCTAAAAGCTCAAATTTATACCATGTCACAATTCAACTGTTTATAAAGGATTCTACTCAAGACATTAGCGGTATCAGTATCATTATCGGGTACCCTACTGCAGATGAACAGTTTGTTAGTTATACATAATGTCAAATCACTTATTGTATAAATATAAAATGATTAAATTCCTTAGAAAGGAATGAAAGTTACAAATAATGATACATTCTATTTTTAGATAACTTGACATTACATCTAATCTTCTTTTCTTTTGGCAGGTTTAATGTTCCTCAGTATCATAGGGTTGTTTTCCACTGTTTTCTTTACAAAAGGGTGTGAGTTGTTGTTCATTCCTTTTTAAAATACCTCAGAGGTGTCCTGTTAAATTTAAGGCATACTTGAACAGGTCATACTTCTCAGGTTTTCCTTCAACAAAAACTAGAAACTTCTTTGGAAATTATAAATTTCCATATTGGAATATTCCTTCAGCAGATAAATTAAGTGCTTCAGGGGTCTATATATATATATTTATTTATTGATATCTATTTTTTTTTTTTTTTTAGAAAAACAACTTTCTTTTGTGAATATATCCTTTTTGAAAATTTACTTGTTTGATTTATTTATGTCCAACTCTCTGAAAATCAAGAGAAACCTCACCAATAATTATGAATAAGATAATCATGATAATCCTTTAGCATAGTTCTGTTTGTTCACCTGTGGTATTATAATAAAGCAACCTTTTACTTTCTAGTCTTCTATACAGTTTTAGGAAAGACATTTATTCGTAATTATATAGACTCTGAACAAAGAAGTTCTGAGTCAAGAAGCAGAAAAGATGCAGAGTAAGCAGTTACCTGGCTGAGCTCTGGGCTGCTCAGTGGATTTGGTCACATTCTGAGGAACTACAGGGGAGCCTGCATGGAGGAATGCAATTAATGGATGATGATGACATAGAGAAGGAGGCATAAAATATTTTAGAGAAGGTGGTCAAGGATTACAAGACAACATGTCTTGAATGCAATTAAATAGATGTTCAAGATAAATGGGAAAGTTGCTTTCTTCTGTAACCGTTAGGAGTCTTTTTTTTTTTTTTTTACAATCTGAGACTGTTTCTGTCAGTAATACACTTCCTTTGGGTTAAACTCAGTATTAAGCTATTCTAGCATTATTATGAGATGTAGTATATCCATTGACAAAGTTTAGTTTTGCTATGTACTATAGAAATTATCCCTTCTCAGAAGGTTTCAAGCACATATTCATAAAAAAAAATACTAAAAACATAAATTGAATTAAATTGTTTGACATTTTACTGTATGTGATCTTACCTTTGCCACTGTGCATGTTGTTAGACCACCCCGTCCGCCTTACAGCATCATATGAAAGATCTAAAAAGAAAAAAAAGAGATGAGTAAATTATATGTTGTTTAAAAAAAAGGAGATTACTAATTAACTGGATGCAAAAGGGAAGTATTTTAGTTGCCCAAAGTGCAGAATACTGTTACAATACTTCAGATTTCGTCAAACCACAGTCCTAAAATCCCTCAATGTGCACATGGTTAAATAAAAAATGTCCACTCGTAGCTGATCATAAGAATGCAGCCTTAACAGGTGTCAAGTCGTCTTAATAAATCAATCAGAATAAAATTAACGATATTCCCCACAGGATATCTGGACATGCTGGTGTGGTTTAAGCTTGCTTTAGTGGTTAACATTTAGATGGCACAATCTTTGAGAAAGTTCACATCTTGCAACACACTTGCCACAAATTGCTGATGCAAATGAACAAATAACAGACACACTAAAGACACACACTTTAACAGAACAATAGCCGGACAAAAACGTCCCACTATTAGCAGCTTCCATGAAGCCTTTGTCGAAATGTGAATTCACCTGCATGGATACGCCCTGTCTGCTTTGTGTCTGTGTGCCGTGTGATGCTGGACAGGTTCCATCAAAAAATCTATCATTCTGACACAAGTGCATGCAACAGAAGCTGTGGCAATGTCTAAAATGCCCTGGCACAGTCAAAGTGCACCTGGCTGGTGCCCTTGATTGTTTGTATTATTACAGACTTAAACAGATCAAATAGCCACCAGAATGCATGGAAAATATGATGTTTATTAATGTCTAATTTGATTTACTCTTTTGTCAAACATGTTATCTTCAGTATTAGCTCTGAGAGCAAATCTTTATTATTAGTAGTTAAGCAGTTTGTCCTTCAGTGGGAAGAAAGACGGAGCCCCTGTAAAGTTGATAGCTTTGTGAACAACAAGATGTCTGAAGGCCAAAAAAGTATTTCATTTATCTACAGAGAGTACAGAATTTTTCAAAAATAATAATTATTTAACTGCATGAATTAAATGTTGGAATAGGAAATTAATGATCAGCACGAACTTGTCATTGTTATCATGTCATTTTTGAAACCACATTTTAAAACCCTGGTATGCCAGTGTATTGGCAAACAGAGCATGCTCAACTTGAATGATTTAAAGATAAAACATTTTCTTTAAAAGTACCTTTGATGGAGGGACAGAGACCATCAAGGACAGAGTGAGAGCTGTCGAGATGGGAGGTGACTAGGCTATGAAAAAGGACAGAGGTGTTTTGATGGCTGAGGGAGGGACAGAGGTGATTTATGGCAGGAAGGTCATAATAAGCAGAGAACACAATTATTTATCTGGAATTGATATGAGATAGTGCTTTTGAGGATGGCAATTTCTGTTTTATCTGAGTTGAGTTTCAGAAGGGTGTTGGGAACAAGGAATTTAAAGCAGAAAGGTAACAGTAGATATGGAAGGGAGGTTTTATGGATTACATCAGGGATTCAGACTCATTAAACATACATTACATCAAGGATCCACCCATTGTCTACACCTGCATACCGGTGCAGGGTTGCAGTAGGGACAGATTTCTATCTCTACAGTAGAGACAGACCCACACATCGGCCAACATTTTTGGTCGATATCAGAGTTTTTATCAGGTATCAGCATCAGACAATTTATTTCGGCCGATTCATGGCTGCATTCTGCAGGCCTGCCTTGAGATCATTTGAAGGATATTCATTGCCGTTCACTTCATTTACTCTCCCTTGTTAATGTTTTGTTTGATTTATTAACGAATGTTTCTTTTCTGTTTAAACAGAGACTAATATAACATTTTTTATCAATTCATAAAGTTTTTGATTTAAATAAAGGAAAAACAGCAATATCAGCTCCAAGAATCGTCCCCAAAATATCCGCAGCAGAGATCAGGGATCAATGTATATCACAGGCCGGCAAAGAACAGCTACTTAAACTAACATGCATATTTTTAAACTGTTTGAAGTAACTGTTTGAACCAAGAAAAAAGTCAGTCATCCAGAAGCACATTTACAATCTATGTAGACCTCTTTGTTGATCATATTTGCCATATTTCTGACAGTCTATGTGCTTTTTGCCCTTTGTTTCTTTGTGGGTGCAGAGTTTAGTTATTTTGAACTGAACAAGTATTGAAGATATTTTTGGCTTCTTATAATGATGTTGGGATACATTTATATCTCACTAAAACCGATATATCTGCAAAACTAAGCTCTTGAATACTTGGCTTTATACAATACAGAAGGTCACTTACTATTGATTGGTTGAAGAATGCTCAGTTTTTTTTCTTCTATTTATCCCTTCAAATATCATTTAATATTGAGGAATTAATTCACATCAATTTGATTGAAACCTAGTTGACATTAAATACTTATCTGAATATATCTTTACTGTAAGTGAGAAAGTGTGTGTTTGAAAAAGCACCACAGCAATACATCTATGAAGTTGTAGATGTTTTCCTGCACAATGCAATACTGCCCTCATGTGGAGAATGGTATCGTAATATTTCTGATGCTTGAAAATTTGCAAGTATTTAAATATTGATATTTTCACTCTAGTCTTCACCAACATAAACTTGTAGTGTAACTTTTTAAAGACTCATTCCGTGAGCAAACACCTAAATTGACAAACTGACCCGGTGTCGCCATAGAATATGAAAATGTCAAAGGACTAGTAGTTGTTAGAGTTTCCCATTCTTAATTAGCATCATATACCCACAATGGGAAAGTTTCCTGATCCTTGGAGGCTTATCGGTCTCATCATCAGTTTCTACACTTCTTAACTTTTAGCCCATTCCTCCAATATCTGCTGTCAATAGAGATGTTTTATGGCATCTGTGGTTCTTTAGAGGAATCGAGTGAATAATAAAAAGAAAAAGGTTAAGAAAAGTGACAGCATAGTTAAAGGAATGATATCAACTTTCAATGGAAAAAAAGACAAATGGATAAATAAACAAAATGCAAAAAATGGTAGAGGAGGCACAAATAGTGAGAGTGCTTCTTTGGTTCAGAGGAGCTGTCAGGTTCAATCTGGTGTGGGCCGACAGGATAGCCAAAGACCAGCGACTGGGGGAGAGTCCTAGGAGACTTGTGTTTCCTGCCTGCTTCTCCTGCAGACAACCTTTCTTTGTTTTACTGGCCCTTTTTTCCCCTTTACTCACTGCCAGCCCCCCCTCCACCACACCTCACCCCCGCCAACCAATCCCCATCACCCTGCAAAAGAAAATCTCCCAAAGGGGGCTACCTCGGCTGCCGAGAGGGCTTAGGAGTTGGTGGAGGAGGAGAGGTAAAGAAATCCCAAACGGTGAGTTGCAGACAGATAATAAAGGGCATGAAAAAAGGCATGAAAGAGGGGAAAGCAATAAAAAAAAAACACTGAATCAGACAAAAAGTAACTCTGGAATTCGAAAAGAAAACAGCGGCAGCATAGGCAGTGACTGTCTAGTAAGGGTAGAGGGATGCCTGGTTGTTTCATGCTTTCAGGATCCTAACACCTACTAGAAATTATTTTTGTGTCTCATGATAACACTTTAAAAATGACTGCAAAAATCTTGATTTCTTTGAACGACTAAAGTTTATGAACCGTTAAGGGCTGTAACTTCACACACACTTTACCATGTGAAAGTTAGGGAAGTGGAAGTGAAACTACATAGGAGAAGGAAGGAGCCACAGATGCATGAAATACAAAGCCCCAGTGATTGTGTGAGGGGGCAACCGTGCAAACACAAACAAGAAAATGCGTACAGAGATCAGCCTCGTCCCCACCCCGTATCCCCCTCCTTCTGCCTTCATTTTTCCAGACCTCGCTCTGACTGAGACTCGCGCCAGTTTCCACTCTGGTCTGGGGTGTGGTGCATGCTCCTGGGAGACTTCAACTGGTGGACCAGTTAGTCAAAACAAGACCTGAGCGCTCCATAGAGAGGATGACAGAGAGAATCACAGAGAAAAGAAGAAATATAAAAAGATTGAGAAACTGAGAGGAAGATAGAACAACAAAGCCAAGAGACTGAGGCAGAGACAAAGAGCAGAAGTATAGACTCAGGCCATGGACTAATTTTAACATTGAGTTTGGGCCAGAGAGCAAGAGAGAGAGAAAGAGAGAGGGACCCAGACAGGCTAAACTTTTTTAATACCCATAATACAGGTGCTTTAAAAACCATCTGTGAGGAGACAGAGCCATAAAAGGAGGAGAATAATGACAAAGTAAAGTAGTTAACCACAAAATGGGCAGAAGGTGCTAAAAAAATACAAGCCTACTAATGTACAAATATTCAAAGACCACTTTTTACATGTAATTGAATTACTTTAAAATGATGGATGTTCTAAAACATTTTCTTTATTCTTAGTCCAACTAATCCAGAACTTTTGCCCATTCTTCTTCACAAAACTTAGAAGTTCAAGCTTAGTCAGTGTGGAGGGATAGTGTCTGTGGATATATATCTTTGAGTTCTTGCCAAAAAGGCTCACTTGGATTTAGGTTTCCAGCTCTGACCAACTTTGCTGTCTATGTTAAAGGAAAGCAGGTCCACAGCATGATGCTTCCATGACCACTTCTCATCTTAGGAAGACAGTGTTCCGCTTGTGTGTTTAGAACCCTGCACAAAGCTTCAGAGAAACCCAAAATATGTATGATTTATTGCTTTTTTTTCCTCTCCTTTATGAAGGCTAGATTTGTGAACTGCAGGACTGATGGTCGTCCCACCTGAGCAGCACCCTTGCCAGCCGGACAAACTTACTTGGTCTGTAGGTCAGTCTGGTAAGACTCAGACTCTTTAAACTAAAACAGACCAGACCAATCAGAGCAAGAGAGGCCGGGTTTTATACTTTCATTATGGCTAAAATTACCCACAATGCAACAACACTTTTCTGTAAACATAGCAGTCAAGATTGCAGCCACAACACAGCAATGTTTTAAAGAAACATTTTATTATGTCCAGTTGAGCTGAATAGATCTTAAAAACATCAACTACTGGCAACTATAACAGCTCTTCTTTAAAAGAGATATTTTTTAAGCCATCTGTAGTTCTAACTCTTTTCCACTGACGGTTAGTCCTGCCTTAGTCCCACCTTTAAGATCGGGCTCTACCAGCTCTTTTCTCGACTGTAACATTACGTATAGGTCATAAGTTAGTCTGGCTAGCCAGGCTACATAAGCAGCGGATCCCTGCACCTCCTCCATGGACCTTGAAGTAGCTTCTCTGCTAATCCCTAGCCCTCATTGTCAGGCTTCTCAGTTGAGCTATATGACATTATCGTGCCTACTTCTTTTGGGGCAATATATCTTGTACGATATTTGCCAAACTTTATAAAAACTGTTGCTAAAATAAAGATTATGATGATGACTGGTTAATCAGTGCTGGCCCAATAGTTTACTCATCTATCCTGTCTCCCTTGGTCTCCACAATAGATGAATGCAAAAGTTTGCAATGGATATTGTTTTGGAATATCTGAGGAAAAGGAGGCTGAATTGCTGTGGAGAACTATGAATTATTAAATTCTTATGCTAGTCATGCACAACTTTGTGTTGGTCTGTTTCATAAAACCCAGATATGATATAGTGAGATTCACTGTTGTGATGTAGTAAACTTTAAGTGAAACTTTAAGTATATATATATATATATATATATATATATATATATATATATATATATATATATATATATATATATATATATATATATATATGTCCACGATAAAATCGCAGACCAAGAGCTTAAATGCACACATTCACAGACACACAGATCCTTTCATAGCTCCTGCATTCCGTGTTTTATATGCTGTCTTTTATTCATAACATTGCCTTTTACACCGCAGAATCTGGTGCAGATTAAGGGTTGTCTCCTGCCATATACTTGTGCTTACTCTACCTCAAAGAGCCTGTATGGTATTTGGCTGATCTCACAAGGCAATATGAACATGAACATCTGGCAGCGCTCATCTGCACAGACGTTGATAATGGGTTCTCAAGTAAGGCACCTTTTATTTTCAAGTCCCAAACGTAAGCTTATAATCCTGACATTTTGTCCTTTTGTTTTATTTTAGCTTTTTAAAACTGTTTGCACCACAGTAACATAAATGTTCCATAAGTACACTAAAATAGCAGCAAGGATATTGAGTCACTTTTATTCCAAAAGGTGGAATATATAGGCCAGGGTCTCTGCTTACAGTCAACGCAGACGCTGGTGTTACAGGAGCCCATTATAGCAATCACCTCTTGTGAAAGGGAAATGCTTTCGAAGGGAGTGACCCGCTGTTCCTGCCAGTCCAAATACCTGGTGCTGAGAACCAGGAAGACCAGGGTCAGGGGGTGACAGAGCAGAATCTTATCTGGCCTGTCCATTGGTCTATTAGTTTGAAGCTGTGTAAGAACAAGTCCACAGCCGGGTAACTCTCACCACAGGGCTAGATAGAAAAAGAGGCATAGGGCATTCTTTAACACTTATCAGAGCTAGTATTTCCTTTGCCACTGCCTTGATAGGGCCCCTCATCCTGTAGGCGAAGCTATCAGTGTTATTGCAGTCATTTCTCTCGTCTCTGGTGGTGACACTCTATAGCTGATGTAAATGATGTTTTTTTTTTCTTTCTTAGAGATATGCAGCCAGTGCCTATTCCAGTTGTGTCAGCACAAAGTAATGTTTTTCAGGGGAAAAGCCATCAAGAGGAAAAGGACAGTCATTCTGAAAAGCCCTGTCCTTGGAACTCTTGACTCTGACTTTTTAAAAGCAGTAACACTGGAATAAACAAAACAAAACAAAAAAATATATATAATTTTTTGCTAACTTTATTTTTAGTATGAAAAAAAGCATTTATATTCCCAACTTGGTCACTGTTCTGTAGAAAAAAGTAGTCTAATTTGCATCCATGCCATTGAAAAGTTAGAAGCATTTTATAGCACTTCAGCCTAATATAACATTTGTAATTTTTATTCTTTGTCATTCTTCCATTAAGCAAATGTCCATATTTGTTTTCTTAATTGAATATTAGCTGTCTTCTTTTGACCATAGTTACCTCTAATATTATATTCTCCCATCCATAAAATGAGACTAAACCAAATCCTGCTGCAGTTAATCAAAACTGCTGAACTAAGTTGTCTTTAAACAGGAATTGGCTTAATATGATCCATGTTGTCTGTATGCAGTTTGTGTAGCGTTGGTAATAAAAAATCACACAAAACTACCGGTGTGATGATGTTTTTTGAGACAATGTCTGGACAGCAGTTTGTTCAGATTGTTTTTTTGTTTTTTTTATCTTAACATTAATTTTTGACAAACTGGATGAATTGTTTATGGTTATAAGTTTACACTTAGCAAATACATGCATATCTAACACAAATATGTTTTGCACTTTCTCCACTGCAAAGTCTTCCAGCAGAACAGCTGGTCCCCATAGAGGCTGGTGGGTAGATATTACTGATGAAATAGTCACACTGATTTCTCTAGCATCCCCCATCCCCACAACTACCCCCCACCTCTGCACTTTGGGTGTGAAAGATGTCTGACAGATAATGTTCCTCAGGTGCAGCTTGATCTCATATGCCTGAAGAAACACTATACTGTATCTGTATCAGATGGTTAAAATAAATCCTATAGGAACATGTTCCTCTGTTATCATTATTAATATTTTCATATATGAAAAATACATAACTTGCACACACGTGGTTTCACAATTCTTGCAAATGAAGCATAGAGTTCATGTGGGAAAAAAAAAATGTGATCTTCAATGTAATTATTTCAAATTGAGTCTTTAAGTTGCATTTTAAAACTTCATGTTGCTAAAGCCCATCATGCAACATACACTCATTTCCATCCAGCCTCCCCTGTTGTGTACAATAAGCACACAATGTTGCTTCAGCACCTGTCTACCATGTCTGCTCTTCCAGTAATCAGTCTCCTTTAAATAATCACTGTATTTGAAGTCTGTTTGTGCACGTTTGGTGCTTTGGAAAAAACTAATCAGCGCTCTGTTCTTGCCGAGTTTGTTAATATGGCTCTATTCAGCTATTCCATTTCTAAGCTCCACTCTGTTGTCACGGCATTCAGGTAGCTGTTTTGAATAGCACAATCTGCTGGCTCATATCACCTCAGCTACACAAAAGCCGCACCTGCCTGGAGCATTGTCCTTTGCAATCAGCCATTGCATATGCTTTGCTTCTGGTGATTGGGCTGTTTTCCGAAGTGTGCCGTTGCTTTGTGTCCTCTTGTTGTTACATGCATCGATAACAATGGCAGGAATTGTGATCCAGAGTCCCATTTAAGATTCATCACAACATTTTCTAACCAGATGAGTATTTTTCCATATATCATATTTAATCAGATAACAAATAAAACATGATTTTGTTTTTAAATAGAAAAACGTCTTTACCTTCTTTGGCAGCCAAACGCGGTGATGCGTCAGTGTGAGATGGTGTATTGTAGGATAACGATGAGCTACCTGTAAAATAACGAGACAACAAAATTAAATCCTACTCATTTCCTACTCAAGTGTGGGTGTTAAAATTACAGAGCGAGAAACAAACACACATTTTTCATAGTGTTTTTAAAAAAAGTCACTTTGTGAACATTGCATTGAATGTTTCTGCCTCAACAATGAATTTCAAATGGAAAGCAACTGGTCCATACAAAGTTGAGACATCTTCAATGAGCTGCCAGCAGGTGGCAGCAGAAAACTCATGTCCATTTCATGTAATGCCATTGAATTCTTGAGTTGCATTGGTTTTTATTTCAAAATAATATAAAAGTGTTTGAAAAAAGTACATCCAACCCAGAGTAAATCAAATACAGCCCACATGCGAGGTGCTTAAAATGTAAAGAAAACCCCCTCAGTGCCTGTCTGTGTTTTCCAGTACAAGTGCTCCTCCTGGGAGGCGAGAGTCCTCATATGGCTGCCTATTCACTTCACCTTATTGAGCAGAACTCTGTGCCACATTCCTCCACTTACACAGGCACCCTGGGCGGCACCAAAATGCTCTCTTAATTTTAGCCGCCCCGAGGCATAAATCAGCGAGTGGAAAAACAGACCCAAAAAATCCACAGAGAAAACACAAGAGCAGTTAGTGCAAAGAGACTGCAAGCCAAGATTTAACACTAAGATGACTGAGCACTGGGAGGATACCTTTTCTGAATGGAGCTAAATGAAAGACAACCTTAAGTACGAATGGAAATAAAAGCCCAGCCGCATTGAGATGTTTGCTTGAGATCTGATGCAGGATCCTTACCTAGTGTGTGCTGATGGTGGTGGTGGAGGGGCCCGTCGTGGCGAGCTAGGGGTCTGTTTTTTTAAGGGGGTGGCTACAGAGGTGAAACACTGGGGTTCTCCTCAGATGCATTTTAACCTCGAAATACCCCACCCCTCTCTGTTCTACCTACTCCGCGGCACCCCCAAGGGTCTGGGTCTAGTTTAGAAAGCTGGGGGCCTTAGAACAGGGGAGCTATTGTGTAGGAAAGGGTCCCTCCACAGCAATCAAACGCAGCTCCCCATACAAAAATAATTCCACACGTTCAGTATAAGCATACAGAGGCTAAGGAGCCACCAAAGCAGTGTCTTTAGAATGAGGGTAAAAAATGTAGGAGAAAAGACACAACCAATGGGGAGGGAAGGGAAATGAAGGGAGATGGAAAGGACCGTTAACCCTTTTCCTACTGTGCGCCACATATGTGGGCTGACCCAGACAGGCAAACAGGCAGCATTGCAGAGCAAACCTCAAACCATCCCACAGAGAAATTCAGGACCTCCGCATGGCTGAGAGTGAGAGTGAACGAGACAGAGGAGGGAGAGACCACAGCTGACTGTTTGGTGGAGGAGAAAAGTTGGCTGTGCTGCCTATTTATTTGCACGGCCTCTTCCTCTTTTAGAAAACAAACATGTCCTGGTAATCTGACAGCACAGTGGGATGGCTGGCCAGCCTTTGAAACCCTTACTCTCCCTTTGTGTCTTTACTAACATCTGTTCAGAGTCTGTTAGATTACATAACATCTACAAACAATTTTCTTTTCTCCCCTTCCTCTGACTGATGGGTCTCTCAAAAGCAATGCTCCAAAGTTTGAGACGCTTAAAACAGACATAATCTTTCTCCAGCCTTATTTGTAAATTACCAAAAAAAAATCCACAATGCCTAATCTGTAATGCTGCATTGTAACTTTAGTCTGAACACTGCCCGGTTTTGAACCCCTTACCACGTAATACAAGGCAAATTGGCTCCAGCCATCCATTAAGCTCCACAGTACAAAACTCCATTTATACCAGCCTTAAAGAAAGAAGTATATAAAAACAGGGCTATTACTAAAATATGTACAATTCATTGAAAAACTAATGCTCTTTTGCTAGTTAATTAAAAGCCTTTGACAAAACCTAGATCGTTATATTTTTTACACTAATGTCTTTTTACCTACCCTATTACCCTATTAAGATTGCCTTAGTGTTTTCATGCACGTTATTGAAGTTATGGTCTTTCCATAAGGTTGAAAAAGATTTCCGGCAATATTCAAGAATATTCTAATGTATAGTTTTTAAAAAAAGTAGTGAGCAATTTTTCTAACCAACCATGTAGGTTTCTCCATCTTTTCTGAATCCAGATTAGTAGGGGAACTTCTCCTCTGAGAGCACCAAGCACATCAAACTTCCACCAACTAAAAATTACAATCTCAAAACCATTATTGTTTTTGAATGCTATTCATTTTATCTTATTTCCAAACGCTCTTCATTTTCCATTGGGTAAACAAGCCATTAATACACAAGCCACTGAATAATTACTGATAAATCGTTGTGAAAGGTGGCACCACCTATTGGTAATCTGCTGTGAAATAAGTTATTAGAACAGAAAAAGTCTTTTCAATCACATGTTAATAGAAATAACTTTCACTGATAAAAAAAAATGAAACATTTCCAACTTCAGTTCTCATAAAATGTTATTTTTTTTATTTAAAAAATGCTTTATTTGTTCTGTTGTCAGTATGTGTCTCAGACAGGAACATTATTAGTGGTATACCACCTCATATCTCTATTTCCAATCTAAATAAGCAACTGCTAAAGTTTCTAAAATATCAAATTCATAAATTGTAATGTTGTTTTTATGACTAAAGCTGTTTTAGGAAGGAGGAAGTTGACATTTCTGTCTGTTGAACAAGCTGTTAATTTTATTTTTTATACAAAACAAAGTCACTTAGAGGATTGTGTACTACAAGGTAGACAATAACTGTTCACTGATTTTTTTCCTGTTTCAAATCAGATATTAAGGTACAAATTTTCCAATAAAGCTGACAATGTATTGGAAAAACCTGCAGTTTAAAATAAAATCCACAACCAGCTCCCTACAGACTGCCCACTTTAACAACAGATGGTTTTACAACTTATCCTAAAATTTAGATTATTTCTGTTGTTACTCTCTAAACAACAGTAAAAGAGTTGAATTTACTATTCAGTCCAGTTAGTAAAACAATAATAGCATGTTAAAAAGCCAAATAAAAAAGTGTTTGAATCTCTACACCCATTACTCTCAAGCTATCGTACAGGTATACCAATTGGTACTAAACATTTTTGTATTACTTATTTATAAGTTGAATCCAAAAGAATTCAAAGTTTGGGCTTAAGTTTGATGGGCTTAAGTTGAAGTAAACATTTTTGAAGCATATGAATCTTCTACTGAATAAGTGATAGATATTTGGAAGCAGAGTGCACTATAGAAAAAAAGGCCCATCACCTTGGTGGCATATAAAGAAACACAAAAAAAAGTTAGACAAATCTCTTTTTTTTAGATTTATTTAAAATTAACATTTATTTTAAGTCCTGGTCTATAAATTATTGTTGCTAAACCCCAATGCTAACAATTAAAAGTAATCTTTAAGTTGTACCAACTGATGAGGACATTTTATCCAAGAAAGTGCTAACCACAAACATTAAAAAAGCTTTAAAAGGTCCTGAAATATATGATATATGTGAAAATATCTGCAATAAAAAGTCAGCTGGTGCTTTTCTATTTGGTATAACAGTGGTTGCATTTTTTTAAAGACAGATTGAATAACTTGGCTTGTCAACTAATGAAAACCAAAAGAAATAGAATAACTGCAGCAAATCTAAAAATAATAGTAATGTATATTCCCATAATGCAAAAAAGGACTACCAATACATTTCTGGTGGTTTTATCTATGAAAAAACTAAGCGTGACCTGGCATAAATGAAAAATTTTAATTCACAGCATATCTGTCTCCCATCATAAGACACCACTTCCTTCTAAACCATTTGTTAATATGTGGTCAAACAACAGAGCTGTCACTTAAAAAAAAAACACCAAAAAACCCCGTACACAGTTAGAAGTGACATGAGACGTTAACAAAATTGAAGCTTTGGTACATGGCATAGAAATGACATTCTTGTAAAACAGCCAAGACTGCTTTTGAACAGTTGCAAATAACTACACCTCAGACCATATTAGGCTTGATGACAAATACGTTGGGTTTTCTTGGAAGTAACTGTCATGTATGATGAGCAGTCAAAAAAGTGTTTACAGCATAAATCCAAAACACTCTCACATGCATACCTCTGTAAGCCATTTATAGTAGGTAAAAGTTTGTTAAACTCTGCTTTGCTTCTCACCTTTATCAGCATGAATCATAGCTTAAAAATGTATAGAAATTCATTTTTACTCTAACAAGTAAACAATTCAGTTTCAACAACATTTAAGGCCATAAAACATTTCCACCTTTCATTCCATTGTGTGTACCATTCTTAATGAATTCTTAAATATTTGAATGAATGATAGTACAATCAGTATAAAATCAACCATCTTTCAAGAAAACTGTGACCAAGATTTGTAAACTCCTTTACTCTGATACCCCTAAGAGTAATCAAGGGTAAGAAAGTCTCTTCTGAAATTACCTTATAAGTAAAGAGAGAGTGTTAGTGTATCATTTAATCTCTTTCTGAACGGTTCTGTTCTGTGTGGTCTATGAAATTATAAGAGAACAGAATAGAACAAAGAAAGCTAATTTGCAAAACTAGCAGAGTTTGGATATCTACCGACATTCTCACTTCCGAACATCCTATTTGCACCACTGATTTACAACAAATCTACACTTTACACATATACAACTTTCCTTCTAATACTTAGCCCTATAATAGCATTCAAACTACACTCTCTTCTTTTTAAGCCTATCAGAATATTCTCCATATTCATCCGTCCTAATGCCAATTAATTCCTGCATTCCAGTAGGCAAGTGAGCAGCCAGACTGCTCTGTTATGGTGGCTGACAGAAGACAGCTAACAGTAAAGGGCTCATGGCCAGGCAGCAGAGCCCCTCCACAACAGTGATAATCTGCCAATGAAAGAACTAATGCAAGGGGAGCTCAATAAAATTGTTGTGAGGGGAGACATTGGAGGAAGAGAGAGCAAACTCTCTAGACCTCCTTTTTTCCCTACTCAGCCTGCGAGCCCAGATGTTTATGGTCTGTATAAACTATTGAGGGCTTGAGAATGTCCCCCCTCCACCCCACTCCGAAGTGAACAGCAGCAGCAGTGCAAGAAGCCCAGACTTATCACTCTCCCACTCCTTCTACCTCTCTGTCTCGACTCCCTCACTGTAAATCCATCCAGGCGCACAAGCAACGGCGACAGCTGGGAAACAGAACTATTGGTACTCTCCACTGGCTTTCATTCAGAGACTTTTCAAACCATTTCCATGCTCAAAAAAAAAAAACCTTTTCCAGTTTGTCCATTTAACTGATTCATCATGCTTGCAACCTGCTGTTGTTTTCCACAATATTTCACGGAGCTATTCCTTCATTAAGTTTGTGCTCTAATGTTCATTTAGAATTACAGCAGATCAATTCACAGTTTTCACCCTAATAGTCCCATCTGGTTTCTCCTTTCCAACCCCCCACCCCCCTCCTTGTCAGAGGATCCAAGCTCTTGCTGTCTGAGGTTTGCTGCTCCGCTCCGTTTCCAGCACATGTGGTATCAAACCGACCTACATGGGTGCGATAAAGCAAACAGTCCACAGTCCCTCCCTGACAGACTAATTTGAACAAATTCTCAAATTGCACTTCAAATTGAAAGCACATTGGGGGTGTGGGCGGCCGTCGCTTATAAAAATCCCAATAAGTGACCAAGAACGAGGCTAAAATAATATGCATGCCAGCAAGCCTTGTTTGTTGTAAGCAGCTGGGTAGCTGGACAGATGTTCAGCTCGTGCCCACGGTTGAATCCGCAGGGGTGTTTAAACATTACTGAGTCTGACGTGGCAGAGATGTTTTGTTATGGCACAGCTATACATAGGGTGGGGAGATTTCTTCTCTACGTTTTCCGCCAAGAGTCTCAATGACGTAGAGGAATGCTCATCAGAGGTACAAAAAAACTGGACCAAATACACGCATGGTAAAGATACATATTTATAAAATGACAATTATTGCACCGTCAATGTTTTATGGATCGGAGGTAATATTTAAGAGGAATCAGTTGTGGCTGAGGATGACATCCATGACCTATAATCACTAATACTTCCAGAGTTTGACTTTGCTTTTCCCCTTTCTTTCCTCCTTTTTTTTTTATATTTTGGAATCTTGCCTGAGCTCAAACTCTCATGACTCAAACCAGAGGTCTATTTTGTGGACAAGGCTCGATTATAAAATTGTTTGTGTGTGTTGTGGGGGGAGAAATAAGAATGACCAAAGCCTCTAAATTAGGGTCTTGTACTCCTTTTTGGTAGTTCTAAAAGATTAATTTACTAATATGTTTCCTTTTTCCCATTAGGCTGTTAGTGTTAAGAATATAGATGTTGCTTTTTTTTAATCTCTAAATCAGGTCTTTCAGTCCAGACTCAGAAGAATTCATCTTTTTGACTGGTGGGAATACATCCAAGGCAATTTTCTACTGGCAAGTGTGCAGGAACCCCAAGACATCCATTCTGTCTCCAAAACATACAAAACATAAGTCTAAAAAAAAAAAGAAAAAGGCAGTGATGGGCAAGGTTGCAATGCAGCAACCTAAAGCTGCTGTCTAAATCCTGCAGGCAGAGGCCATTATGAAAACTGCTTTGCAGAGTGTGCCCAGTGGCGGTCAGACAGATCCACCCGCTGCAGTGCTTCACAATGAGGCCGTTATACCGACTGTAAGCATCTCTCTCTCTTTCTGCCCAGATGCTCAACATAGAGAAATCTATTGACACCCAAAAAATACAGTTCCCATTACATCAGATGAAGGTCCATTGCAATTTTAGAAGAGAAATGTTAAATATAGTGGAGCTAGCAGTCACTCCACCCAACGGGCTGTCATTATATTCTGAAACAGCAGCAGCAAAAAAAAGTACACTATTCAGAGGCACAGAATCCAAATCTCTTCCAAACTAATGTGTATTCAAACTGCAGCCACACCAGATGTTAAATCTTATATCAAAATGTCATTTGCATATAGCCTCAGAAACTGACTGCTTCTCAAAGAAACATATAAAGCCGGATTACAACTAGGCGCCCTTCAAAGGTAAGAGGCTCATATGTATTTGCCCCCATTGAAAATTGCAGATCAACGTTCTTTGCTGTGCCGAGCATACAGGCCGAGCTGCCTTCCTGAGGCAATGCACCTGGGCTTCATCTTTTTTGTTGGACCATGTGGAATAAAGGCGCTGCAAAGTGTAGTGAGGGGGATGTAGTTGATGGTTATCTTCAGGGGAAAGAAACCCTCTTGGTTTCCACATTTCTGCTAGCTACACACGAGGCAACATTATGGAGAAATGAGTTCCAGTTAAAGCATTTCTCCTGTTCCTTGTTGGTTTAGTTATAGATGATGGTGAAATAAAATCTGTCATGCAACTGTTTCAGGCTAGACTTGGCAAATAAAACTTCTCTTTTTTTTCCTCATTCCCTATGCAAGTATAAGACAATTTACTTAAGCAGGCTTGGATTTTTAGTTAAAAAAAATCCAGGCCATGAAAATCATTCTTCATAGAAGAGAGTACAGAACGGTTCTACATACAAATTTTTGTATTTATACACAAATCCATACAAACAAAGCAGACTTACTTTCCCTGAGGTAATTGAGATGAGACAGAAGCACTTCTGCGTTGTACATGGTGGTAAGTCGGAGGAAGTCATCCTTGCTCATCTTGCAAAGCTCTTTGCCGTCTGTGTTTTGAAACATTGACGTGTCAATTTCTAGCAGTCCGTACTCCTTGATGGCCCACTCCAGCCACTGGCGCACATGGTCTTGAGACCACAGTGATGGGTCTGAGGGAAGACAGCAGGAGAGAGGAAGTTTATTGACTATGGGATTCTTAGTGAAACACACAACTGGGAAAGTTTTAAACAGAGCTGGCCTGAAAGATCAGCTAACTTATCCCCCGGGTTAAGGGCTCAGGACAGCAGGAGGCCTCCAAGAGCACAGTATCTTAGATCTTACTTTGTTGTCAGTTGTAGAGTTGTTTAGGAATGAGCTGAATCATGTTGGACTATGGTTCAGTTTGACCCTTTGCCAGTTTGTAACCCAATTAAGCCCCCATCTGTTGCCATTTCTTCTCTTCCTCATTTTGTAACCACAAAAGAACATGTCATGCAAATACTCAATCCCACACATAGCTAAAGAGTATTTTATAATAGATTGCAAAACATTTTATTTCTATCCACACTTTGCCCAGTTCAACTGTATGAAAATTGGCAACCTCTTTCAGGTATTATTTATTGAATTTGGATACCTACATTTATTGATAGTTAACAATTAGTAGATACAAACATTCCCCTGAATTGCTGAAAGGACAGATTGTTGACAGTTCAGTTTTAAACACCATAAGGTCAGGAATGAAATAGCAGCTACAAAGTTACGACATAGCCAGGAAATAATTGACTGTTTTTAAAATGTGTCTAAATTGATCAATCAATTGAATTTATTTAGCAATTAAAAGGTGAACTGTCCAAACGCAATGTAAAATAAGAATTGTTTGATAGCTGTAAATACAGTCATAATCAAATAACTGTGTTCGACAATTATTGGGTGGATAAAAACTTTGGCTGAACAATTTCTGACCTATAAAATATTTGATCCCAAGTGCTATTATTGAAATTGGCTGATGTTGTTAAGTTACAAATTAAAGGAAATATAGTTAGGTCACTAGACATGTCTAGAATGTCTAACACACTCAATTGAACAAGGCAATCCTGTGGTGATCTTATCCTAATATAAGCATTGAAACTAAATTCTGGTGAGAATCCCATTTAACTTTGGACCAAATTGTTGTCTTATTTCACAGACATGAGAAGGAAAATAAGCAAAGGATTATTCACTACTCCTATCCCTTCCTGTGTTTGTTGAAATGTTTTTCATATCATGTCAAAAATTGGCGATGAAAACAGAAAGATTAAATACACATACAATTCTGCTTGTATAATCCTGTATAAACCTATATTTTATATACTGCATAGCAAACATTGAAACAAATCCTGAAACTCATGACTTGCCATTAAAGGCTAGCAACAAGTGGAGCTCCTAAAAGCCCGGAGATCACTTAATGAAGAAGGATCACTCAGATGTATCATTTACCAACACTACTCTCAGTGCTTTTAAATGTCATCAGCCCTAGCGATAATCCAAATACAGAAAGCAATCTGTGGTTGGTAACACTTAGCTTACCCCAATGAAAACCAAAAAACACACTTACAAATGTGTCTGAATTTGGAAAAACGTAAGTCTACACTGTAATTAAGTTTAAGATTTGTATTTGTTCTTTGTTGTTAGCTCATATCTTCATGTGATGTCAGACCTTTCATGTAAGAGAATACAAGAAGTTATAATTACATGTTATCAAGTAAAAACTTTGCAAAAACTACATGTACAAATTGAATGGTATGAATCACCAATTTACAAGTACCAGTCTACATCCCCTGATAGAGCTGTTATACTCCTTACCAGTTGGTGGTACAGTAGATGAACAGAACAGAACCTGTCCCTACTTGATCGGCACCGAAAGCACGATCCATACAATCAGCTCATTTGAGCATGCGCAGCCAGATATATATCCAGGTAATCCTCGATTTTAAATTGTAAAAAAAACCTAAATAACATTTTTAGTAAACTGTGTACTAAACTATAATGTGTTAAATGTTAATAATGTGTTTCCTGAAAAAATAAATGCCTTAAAATCCTTTCTGTTTGATCACTTGTCTGTGCCCAACTGTGCCAGAAATGGGATCCTACGCTCCTTCCAGGAGTTTTTCGACTTTGGATTTAAAAATGAATCTAGTCTTCTTGAGTTTTATTTTTTCCTTTCAAGTTAACATTGTGGTATAAAGTGTGTTATCTAAAGAAAGAAATTACAAAAAAAAAGATAAACATGGTTTAATCATATTTTGCTGGACTGCTCTGAGCACGTCCGATGATGACGTCAGACAAGCTGTTTGACGGAGAAAATATAAAAAGCATCAAATCGTCTCAGAAAAGTCATAAAAATATTTTAAAGATGTGTATTAGAATTCTTTAGTGATTTGAGGATAGAAATAAATACTTTTAGGATCACGATTACATTATTTATGGTGACCTGGATGAATATCTGCAAATGCGCAGATGATACGGATCGTGCTTATCGCACATTGTGCTGCGCATGTGTTGTTTGACATCACGGGTAAACCTGAAATCATTGGTTTTGTTTTCATCTTCTTCCTCTTCCTGTTTTTTTTTTCATGGTTGGCAAACAATCTTCAGGAGCATTTTTGCCATCATCTGGTAAGGAGTGTAACAGCTTTATCTGGGTTTGTAGAGTCATATCTGAAAATGTTTGAATTTCCCTTGTATTTTTGAAAAAAAGTAATTTGGTTACTTGGACAACTTGTGTACTTAACTTCTAAACTTGTATTCTCATAATACATGTGACATTAGATGAAACATCTAATGTCACATGTATTAGCTGAAAACAAGGAACACATTTATTGACTAACATTTACAAAATCAGACACATATGCCCACTCCTATTGAGAGTTACCTTCCCCTGTTGTGTCTTGGCTAACAATCTCTACTTGCAGAAATAATTTCTTGCTCACCATGACATTAAAAATAGTGACTAAACAAACCCTTAACCCATAAACTAGGAAAGAAGCAAGGTAGCTGGCAGCAGATGTAAAATTATTGAGTTAGAGTTTGGATTAAAAAGTTGTGAATGTTAAACAGGGAAATGCCTTTAGTTCTAGATTGTTGTCCTGCAGTCAGATAGTTATTTCAATTAAAACTTTAGTCACAAACCTCTTTGCCTACCTGCAGGTACAATGACTCTTCGCTCATTGGTGGTCATGTTGGGAGGAGGGGCATTCTTCTCATCCATATAGCTTCCATACGTCATTTGAGATGTGTCATTAGCCCCGACTAACTTGTTACATTTGCCCACACTGCAGTCCACAGGAGACTCCCTGCTGCACAAAAGCACGTTAGAAGTGCAGTTGTTAAAACATTATTAGCAGATAAAATGGGTGTTGTTCAGTTCCTTTCTAGCAATTGACTTTGGCATCAAGCACTATTATTCTGAACTTTCCCCGCCAAGAATACAACTGATAACAAGCTGTAAAGAAAAAAAGAGGAATACAAGACACGGAGGTAAAACACAATTGTACCTGGATCCATTCATGTGCTCGTATTCTCTCTTGACATTGACCCGCACAGGCTGGTTGATCCACTCTTGCTGTGGGGGTAAAGGGTTGATTTTGTGGGTCTGGCCATAGTCCTGTGTGCCAGATGCAGTCATGTCTGTCTTTGAGAGCGGGGCAGCAGCAGCGTATGGAGGCTCAAATAAGGACTGGTCTTCACTCACCACTGATAGCGCCTCCTGTAAAGGTAGGCAGACAGAAAATAGGTTAGTTTTTCTTGAATTGCTTTTCACATGAAAAATTACATAGGTTACTTTATACCACAGCAACATAATCAACACTTAACTCTACTTAGACAGCCTGTTTTGATGTAAAGATGCGATTAGAGATACAATACAAAACTGTCCGATTTCCAATTTGATCTACCTTTCATCAACTGGCAAGGATCTCAAAAATCTGTTCTTTGAAAAAAAAAAAAACTAAGCTAATCATATTAAGATCACAGAAACAACAACACTATTCAATGTGATGCAATACTGAGTAAAGAAGACTCATTAAAGTGTGGTTCTAGACAAGGATCAACAGGGCATAATGCTCCTGTAGACGAGCCCTGCTCTCTATGATGACAGCTGTACTGAAACCATACTAACCATAACAGATTAGTTCCATGCATAAATGTAATGTTTACCTTTAATGCTGAACTTTTACAATCATTTAAAAATAGGGGTTTTGCACTTTTTAATTCAGCCATAAGTAAGCATCAGTCTTCATCAGTGAGATTAGGGATCTACAACTTGCAGCTGTCGAGCCACAAGTACCTCTTGGCTTTGCAGTCCATTTAATATATTAAATAATACACAATTGTCTTGTTTAGTTTTCTTTGTTTGTTATTTGTGTTTTATTCTTCGTCTTTACTCTGTGCCCTAATGAATAAACACTACCCTCCGCCTCTCTGATAAATTAAGTCTAGAATCACAGTGACTTTTATTTGACATATAAAAGTTTTAATTTGCTATTCAAAAGAAACTGTAAGGTAAGTGCAACAGAGTGAGTGTTTAGCAAATAACATGAAGCTGAACGTATTGTACTACAGCTGTTTTGTTTCATTCATTTGATGAAAAAGAAAAAAAAGAAAGAAAAAAAGAAAGAATTTGAATATTGGTTCCCTGTAAATAAAAAAGTGAAGCCACAGACCCACATTTTCTCTGTCCCCTGCTTTAATGCTTGTAGCATGCTTTCCAAGTTCATAGCTAATGAAAGATGCTATAGGTTGTCTGTAGATATACTACAGGAATGGCTGTTTTACAGAAAATCTCTTCATATAGCAACACGAACCACCAAAAGCTATGAAGCAAGAAGTGAACGGGCAATAAAGAACACTTACTCCCCAAAAACTGTATTTAACCGCCTTTAAAATTGTGAGAGAGTAGGTGCACTGCTTAAACTCTATGGGCACACCGTTAACAAAAGCAAGAAAATCAGACTCAAGACCCTTCCCTTAAACATGTGAAGTCACATTTTCAGTCTCTTGTATATTTTTGTTTACAGCAATTATGTGCACTTATGAGTTATATCACAGTCTGGGATCCTCTGTAGTTTGTGTATACAGCTCTTGTAGGGCTGTAGCTTCCTGTTGATGTTAAGATGACTTCAATCATACTCACAAAGCTGTTAGATAAGATGCTACAGAAGGCTTGCTCCAATCAGATAAAAATTTGACAAGTACACTAAGTATTAATCACTCAGCGCCTCAAGCTGAAAGTAAAAGAAAAAATGACAGCCGCAATGTTCTAACCTCATTTTATATCATTCCCCATGTTAAAATGTGTTCCTTACATCATCAGCGGCCTATTTTCTAGATGTATCTGGACGTCAATATCCCCTGTTGAGCCATACAGTGTGCATCACGTCTGAGCATTGGGCTTCCCCTTCACAGCTGAAGACTCAACAGAAGCAGTGGGGGTCACAGCTACACTGACCCCTGTGCTTTGGCGCTGCTGGAGCAATGTCAGTTTATTAAAGAAAACAAACGCAGAAACTCGCAGAGGCGGCCAAGATATTGTGTGGTTTAGATGCTTTTCTTGCGTAATGTCTTAAAAGAAAAGCACAAGCTCTGCAGTTGATGGATTTCATTTTAACACGTCACTTTTTTAGGAAAATAGTCACACAATTTCACCATCACTGATCTGAGCAGCCAGTGTGTTTAATAATACTTTATGAACATTATAAAAGTAAAGTATTTAATAGAGGAAAAAAAACAATAAAGAAAAGAATATGAAGTGAAATGATAACAATATGGCTCTGAGGATTAGGCTCGGTTCTGATGCACATCTGGATCTGATCGGATCTGATGGCACGGCAAGGACGGAAACGTGTCTGATCCCCGAGGACTGACTTTTTTTCATTCCGGCATGCCACATAAGCTGCTTCAGGGGAAAAGGTGAGACTTGAGATTCACTGATTCATAGATCTTACGTGCAATCTCTGAGGCTTTTATTATGGCAAAGTAATGAACACATTAATCTATTGTGGTTTTCCTCTTTAAATACATGTGACTAAGATGTTGTTGTTTTTTTTTATTATCCATTTATGAAATCTGTACAACATAATACCAGTCTGCATTCCCTTTTTCATTGGCCAGTAACTCCAACAAACTCAAAAAAATAAAAAAACACAAAACAGAATAATAAAGATGAGATCCACATTCAAGCAATTTATAGGATTTATACATATTTATAGCCTCCTTTATAGAAAATATAAGTTTGTTGGGTCACCGCAAACTGAAAACAGGTTAAAATTTTTTTCAACACCAGAGTCTTTAGTGGATTTAAAAAAAGAAGAAGTAAATTTAACCACCTGCCAAAATAGGTTTTCTCTGTGATTTCATCTGAAAAATCTATCATTTAAACTTAGGCTGCGAGACACACTATCTGAGCAGAGCACAGCAGCTAGTCTGCAGATGATAAGCACAAAAAAGTGAGAGAATGTCTTATTACAGCTTGATAAGAGCTTTGCAAACTATTTTGACTTTGTACGTTACATTTACACTGACATATCAGCCTCCCCAATTGGAGCCATGATTGGCAAGTGGTTTATGTTTATCAAGATTGCGGCAGGCTTTTTTTATTTCTCTGCAATAGAAGCAACCCCATGTAACTGTGGAAAGCTGACAAAACAGTCGTATTCTGATTACTGCTCTATCTTTAAGGAACACACGCTAGCGAATTGTGAAACCTCGAGGCAGTTACACCTTTTTTTTCTGTTTGCCCCACACCGTCAGAAGATAATTTGTGAAATGTGTCACTTGGGTCAGACTTTAAAAAAGGTTTACTATGGCAGTGGCCTGGGGTCCTCCAGGCTAAGGGAATGCAAAGAAGACAACAATTTCTTAACAATTTTAATAACAACGTCTTTTTTCATAGTGTGTTCTCTTATTTTCCTAAAGTACAACAGTTAGACATTGATTACAAAAATCTCAAACTCTACACCAGCCTCAAACAATTCATACATAACAGCTTTAAGTGCCCTTTATTTTTTTTATCTAATGAGATCTAATTCAGTCAGACTTCATACCTTTGCATCGCATTTTTAATCTTCTCTTAGTTCCTCTTCTTGTAAATCAATTTCAGATCTAACTGCTTACACCTTTATCAATTCATTTTTGTTTTTTACGAAGTATAGACACAGATAATGTTAAAAAATGTAATCTCTGAAAGATTTTTTTTTTCTTTACTTAGAAGTATCTTACAAGATATTTGTAAGACACATATTATTCATTTTTGAATGGTTCTGATTCATAAATATGACATTTTATGGTCTGTAACCGTCAGCTCCAACTGGTAGACATTAAAGTAATTACTGGAGTCACATAACTTTTGTTGTCAAAGGGGATATCTCATCTTGATATCTTTTTAACTTAATCTTTACAAAACCTAAAGTCCAAAAGATTTGGATGAAATCTATATCTATATTTGTGATTCCTAATCTTATCTACATTTGTGCTGGGGAAGATTCTCAGTCATTCAGGTCATAGTCATTCCAAAAATGTTCAAAACAATACACTGGACTTTTTTTTCAAGTTTGAAGACATTTTGCTTCCTATTCCATTGGAAACAAAGTCCAGTGGATTGTTTTTAACTTCTTTGGAACTCATCTATACTTTAGGGTGTTTTATCATTTAAGTAATATCCTAAATAACCAATTAGTAATGGTCACAATTCAGTCTTTAAATTTTCATGTAAAAGAAAAATGCCAGAAAGCTTAAACAAACACTCTTTAGGGAGAAACACATAAAGAAGTTATTCATTTTTTGTTACAGAATAGTTAAATATACAGAGACCAATCATGAAATATAAAGACATCTCTATTTTAGGTTACATTTCTAAATCAGACACCAGATGGGAATATCCATTGGCTCGATAATGGCCTGATATGTGCAGGGCAACTGTGGAAAAAAAGTGGTCCCTATAGGATCAAAGATGTATTTCTCATGTTGAAATTATTTTTTTTTTTACATATTGTTTGTTGGGTTCCCCAGGTAGGTCTCAAACATATCACATGGCCATCTAGTTTAGCAGAAATGTCTCAAATGTTGCTTACCCAAACAGGGGGCATGGCATGATACTTTTATAAGCCTGGGCTTATTTAGTACAACACACCAATTAAAATCTGTAAGGAATCCAGATGCTCCTAATCAGGTTATTGGCACTATACTGCTAAAGTAAAGCAGCAAACATTTTAAGTGTCAACAAACATTTGAGACTAAAGGCTGTCCACCAGAGGCAACATGAACATCATCTGAAACGAAGCTACAAAACGCTCAAACAGTTGTAGCTACACTGCAGCTTTGAAGCTAACTTACTGAGTTGGCATCATAACACATGAATCAGTGCTAGCAGGATGTCCCCAAGACATTTTTTTTGTTTAAAACAATTTACAAAAATAGCAACAACACAATGACAGGAACATGTCCTCAAGTACATTCATGCATTTGTTACACGACCTCAATTGTGAAGTATTGTAGCTCAGCTACGTAAAGCAGTATGAATGATAAAAGAGATGGTAACTTAAATCCAAGTGTATCCCGTTAAAAAAACACTGGATGTATTCATATATTCTATGGCTATCTAAGTTCATTCAGTTCAGTATTTATTTAAGCCAAAAAAAATGTATTAACCCTGTACTTCAAACCACTATCAACGTTCAACCAGACATCAATATACATTCTTAGTAGACAATC